CTATATACTATACAGATAATACAACACAGTTAAATATATCATTCCTGTTGCCTTTCAGGGGAGGGGGGGCTATATACTATACAGATAATACAACACAGTTAAATATATCATTCCTGTTGCCTTTCAGGGGAGGGGGGGCTATATACTATACAGATATTACAACACAGTTAAATATATCATTCCTGTTGCCTTTGGGGGGGGGGGGCTATATACTATACAGATAATACAACACAGTTAAATATATCATTCCTGTTGCCTTTCAGGGGGGGGGGCTATATACTATACAGATAATACAACACAGTTAAATAAATTGAATTTGTATATTTGCATATATTTAATTGCTATTGTATAAGTTCTAGAGACAAGCAGTTCTGTATAATTAATTTATAAGATCGTTCTGCCAAATTCGAAATAGAAAACAAATTAGGAATTCAGCAATGTAGGTCTGTTGTAGAATATTTGTTTGTATGTCAATGCCAGAAAATGTTGAGCTTTTTTGTCTGAAAATGTCTGTCATGATATGCTTTAGTATGTTTCAGTGTTAGTGTACATGTCATGGGTGTCAGGGTATCTGTTTATAAGTCACAATATTAGACTTTATTTCAAGTCTTCATGTCATTGTATGTGTCTGTATGTCATGTGTGTCTTTAAGTGATAATATGTGTATATATGTCATAACATGTTTACTTATGTCATAATATGTGTTTATGAACTTGTATGTTGAAATGGGCTCATAGTATGAGAATTTACGTATGTTATAATTTCTGAACTTATCTCATAATATGTGTATGTATGCTAAAATGTGTGTCTTTATCTCATAATTTGTTAACATATGTTATGATATGTGAATGTATGTTAAAACACACGTCATTATCTCATAACATGTGTATGTATGCTAAAATGTGTGTCTTTATCTCATAACTTGTTTACATATGTTATAATATGTGAATGTATGTTATAACACACGTCATTATCTCATCATAATATGTGTATGTATACTAAAATGTGTGTCTTTATCTCATAACTTGTTAACATATGTTATAATATGTGAATGTATGTTATAACACGCGTCATTATCTCATTGTATGTATACTAAAATGTGTGTCTTTATCTCATAACTTGTTAACATATGTTATAATATGTGAATGTATGTTATAACACGCGTCATTATCTCATAATATGTGTATGTATACTAAAATGTGTGTCTTTATCTCATAACTTATTTACATATGTTATGATATGTGAATGTATGTATATGTGAATGTATACCACGCGTCATTATCTCATCATAATATGTGTATGTATACTAAAATGTGTTTTTTCTTTAAATATTGTGTCTTTATCACATACTTTGTAAGTGATCAGATGTCACGGACGTATACAAGGGGCGAGGCAAGAGGGATAGTGCCTCCCCGAGACCTGTGAAGGGGGGGCGTAGCTACCTGCTACCTCCCCCCCTAGAAGTCTGAGCTATCCCACTTTTCAAATCTTAAACTGAAAAGTGAAGAACGTAAAAAAATTGTTTGCTGTTCAGAATTCGGGGTTTGAGGGGTGTTCGAATAAAGACAATTCCTATTAAACCTTTGTCTAATAATTTAGTGCCTTCGGGAACATTTGACGTCATTTTCACGGATTGTACATTGCACAATGAGTTTCCTACAACTTAACAGTCAGCTGGAAAAAATGTATCATTTATTCTCAGATAAAATCAGGGATTCAATGATAAACCCGAAGGCGTAGCCCAAGGGTTTATCATTGAATCCCGAGGGGGTATAAATTTTCATTGATTCCAATTTGTCTGAGAGTAAATGACATTCCTTTTTAAAGAGAGGTTTCAATGATAAACCCGAGGGCTTGCGGATTTTTTTGCCTTTGTAGATTTTCAAAGTATCTTTCAATGAAAATATCCCGGCGGGATTAAATGAAAAGTGTTGCATACCAAAAAAACAGCTTTTTATAAAGGAATGGGTATTTCTATAGTGGCAGATCAAATTAAATGTACTGTTGTGAATCGGACTTGCCAATCTATAAAAAGGAGAATAAATTGCAATTAATTATGTTCACAATCCCTTTCACATCGTCTATGTGCTAGACAAAGATGGTGTAATAGAAGGAAAGATTTATTGAATACCTGAAGTATGTTCCACGAGGTAGGAATACCTGAAGTATGTTCCACGAGGTAGGAATACCTGAAGTATGTTCCACGAGGTAGGAATACCTGAAGTATGTTCCACGAGGTAGGAATAATATTCCGACTGAATAGCAGGGCTAGGACGCTTCCTATCAGAAGACCAGCAAATACATCAGAAACATGATGGCGTTGATCCTGAATATTATGAAAAATGATAGCGTTGATCCTGAATACTATTAAACATGATGGCATTGATCCTTAATATAATGAAACATGATGGCGTTGATCCTGAATATTATGAAACATGATGGCGTTGATCCTGAATATTATGAAACATGATGGCGTTGATCCTGAATATTATGAAACATGATGGCGTTGATCCTGAATATTATGAAAAATTTTAAAAACTTTTATTTTGCAATGCAATTTAAGGAAAGTTTGGCCAAATTTTGTTAAATATTGATTTGAATAATAATAATAAAAAGTATATTAAATGTTAATTATCAAAAAACTAGCCTTTCAGGAAATGTACAACTTTTTCCAAACAAATTCGTATTATTCTTTAGATATCCAGTACAACAGAGTCACTGGAAAATAATGTGATGTCCTAATGTTGTGACATGAAACAAGATAAATTTTGAATTCGTTTAGTGAAGCCAGCCAGCTACAGATAAAATTTTGCGGAATTGCGAATGGAAACCCTATTCCATGTAGAATAACGATCTAAACGAACTTTTGTCTTCTGCCTTGAACATTGTCTTTTTCTGACTATTTTCCGTTTTGTGAAAATACCATTTCATAGTTATTTATCAAAAATAAATACGGTTGAAAATCCAAGTAAATCTTTTTGTTTTTAAGTATTATGCACTCTAAACTGTAAAGTGTGCATTTTTATCTAAAATGAACCAGTGCTATAAATCTTTATAGTCTCATTGTACTTACATCAGATTAGACAGATAGGACAAAATAATCCAAAATAAGAGCATTTAACCTTTCTTTCTTTTTAAGCTAAAAGGGTTAAAAAATATTTTTTTTTCTAAAAGATTATAATTTAAATATTTTTCCTTAAAAAATTGCGTGGAAAAAAGTTTCAGGACTAATTTTTTCCTTTTGCTCGTAAGATCTGTGACTATTTGTACCAAATTGAAAATACTCCAAGTTTGACGTTAATCCCCCTTGGGGTCTGAATACATTGTTGCATTAATTCTCCAGGCTTAATACTACAATAACAGGCAGGCCGGGTATCTTACAAACTTTCAACCAAAATTATTCAAAATGTTAAAGTTGTGTTTATATCAGTTGTAAAGGACAAAAACTTGTAAAATCCGAAAAAGTTCAAATCAATAAGAAAGCTGTAAAAGTGCTAAGTGCTTTCAGGTATAGTTTTCAAGTCGTGTATCTAGTATATTTACAATATAATTACATATTGTGGATACACTCTAAACTACCTACTTGTCCAAAGTTATTTGTAATAAATCTAAATCAATTTAAAAATGGTAAAACCTACTAGTGCAATTTTTACTATGGAATATAGGTTCCGGAATCTAGAATCAGCCCAAGTAAAGCTTAGAATCAGTGAATCCTTTCTACTTATAAGTTTGTATGTTTTATATTGTTTTTATGAAAGTCTGAAAGTATCTGGAGCACCCTGTATAAAATGCACGAAAAATATCAATTCAAAATCAACAAGAACCCGAATCTGATTATATTGAGTACGAATAGATCAGATGTTTAAAAAATCCCATTTTTTACATTTCAAACATTAAAGTTTCAAACATTTTAAACTGTCAAACTAAATAATTCTAAGGAGTTTCTACTTTTTTGTATCTGAACAGTTTGTTTGTTTTAGTAAATCGACCGTAAACTGCAATAGTGTTGATTTTTCTCAGATATAACAACACAGACAATAATTTAATTTTAGAATATTTGTTTTATTTATCTTTATTAAAAAATGTATTATGTTGCTTTTCATTAAAATTGAAATTGTTCTACAAGAAAAAACCGGGGTTTTCCTGGAGAAAAATACTCATGCATGCAAATCAAGCTATAGAGCTGAGTATAATTCAGGGCTGTATACAGGAACTATTGCAGGGGGGGACGGGGGCTTAAATTTTTATGACGTTCTAAGCATCCCCCGATGGGGCCTAAATCTCCCTAGAAATCCTAGTTTACATTTCTTCAGGTCGAAACGTTTGTGTTAAATAGCGCTAATCTTAATAAACACTTTGGCAACTTGTAAATTTTAATTTCAATTTTCCGTGCACCTGTATTCTAGAAGAACCAACCTGTATTCTAGAAGAACCAACCTGTATTCTAGAGGAACCAACCTGTATTCTATGTTCCACNGAACCAACCTGTATTCTAGAAGAACCAACCTGTATTCTAAAGGAACCAACCTGTATTCTAGAGGAACCAACCTTTATTCTAAAAAAACCAACCTGTATTCTAGTAGAACCAACCTGCATTCTAGAGGAACCAACCTGTATTCTAGAAGAACCAGCCTGTATTCTAGAGGAACCAACCTGTACTCTAGAAGAACCAACCTGTATTCTAGAGGAACCAACCTGTATTCCAGAAGAACCAACCTGTATTCTAGAAGAACCAACTTGTATTCCAGAAGAACCAACCTGTATTCTAGAGGCAGACGAATAAACTGTTATAACAAACAGAATAATTTGTAGTAAACGTTTTCCAATTAGGCTAGTTTGTTCTCCTATTCTTTTCTCGATGTAAACCTTAAAATGATAAAAATAGTGATAATGATAGTTATGATAATGATGAAAATGAGGATAATTATAATAATAATAATAATAATAATAATAATAATAATAATAATAATAATAATAATAATAATTATAATGATAATAATAATAATAATAATACCGCCATGTATACAGCTGAGAATGATATAAGCTGCGCATGTCCTGACGGCCAACTCTTCATAGAATCTAGAACAGCTTTAGTGTTCTCAGATAGACAGATAGATCTACGGAACATCACATTCCTAGATAGACAGATCATTTCTAGATAGATAAATAGACAGATAAATGTTTAGACAATCACATTTCTAGATAGATAGCACTCTTGTATGCCAAGTCCATTAGCTCCCGATCCAATCAGAGTTCAGTCATGTGTTTGTTGTCTATTCTGAACCAATAGAAATTGTATGGCGGTAACATCTATCTTTCTATCTATCTGATTATTCAATGAGAGATTTGAATCCTTCAATCGGCGCTAACAGTAAATGGAAATATTTACTTCTACTGAAACTATAGTGATAGGATAAATCTTTGAACAATCACATTCCTAGATAAATAGACAGATAGATCTTCGGAAACATCAAAGTCCTAGATAGACAGACAGATTGATCTTCGAAACATCACATTCCTAGATAAATAGACAGATAGATCTTCGGAAACATCAAAGTCCTAGATAGATAGACAGATAGTTATTCGGAACATCACATTCCTAATTAGATATCTATTTAGAAGTTTAGATCTTAACCAGATCTTTCCTTGAAAATACCAAAAAATATTAGCGGTTCTTTTTAACAGATGAGTCTACAGAGTATTACGGTCCTAAATAAATAGATACAATAGAAACAATAAATTTCTAAATAGAAACACAGAAAGATAGAAATCACGTTTCTTAACAAATATTTCGGAATATAAGATTCTAGTTAGTAGATATATTGATCTTAGAGGTATGACATGTTTCCATGCAATTGTAAACATATAGACAGATATCTATTCAGAACCACATTCCTCAAGAGATAGATAGAAAAACGAAATAAATATTTTGTAGAAAAAAATAAGAATCAAGGATCAAAAGAATTGAGTCTTTGTCACAAACTAAGATTTCCTAAGCCCTTTATTTAGCAGCCTGATGTTATAATTCAGAGCTACGTTTACTGAACTATCAACTGCAGGTTAAAATTTGAACCACCAATTCAAAGTCAAACTTCAAAGATTTAAGAAGGATTTGAATCGGTGATTCAAATTTGAGCCGGTTGGATTGCTTAGTTTGTAGCAAAGACTCAATTCCTTTGGCGAAAGTATTATTCTTACCCGCCGTTATCCGTGCAGTTGATATTATCCCAGTCAGGTTGACACGTCTCCAGGAAGTGTGGTCTAGGCACAGCGGTCAACACCTAAATAGTTAAAGGGAATGTGAATGAAATTTAGAAGGTGCCAACAATGATATACAGATTACCTTTCACCCTGTTTTTCTATGTTTCTAGAAAATATTTTCAGAAAACCTGTGACCGCAAAATGTCAATATTCATAATATAATACAGTCATAACCGTAGATATACAAGAATATAGATCGTTCATGTCGTCTTCACCATACCGGAGCTTAGTTTAAAAATGGCAATTTAGCTACAGGGTGTCCCACATCATATTAGATCGTCAATCGGTCTAAATTACGATTTTCGGGACTAATCAGAAAATTTAAGAAGAATGAATCATTTTGAACAATTGAATAAGGTTAATATAAGAATTTTCTTGCGGAAAATGATAGGTTTTTCTAGTATTATGGGTTTATTTTGGCGTTAAAACTTGGAGATAATCTAATATGATATGGGACGCTCTGTACAGTACTAGCTACTGGAGCTACTGACATGCAGTACTTTGGATTTAAAGGTTTGCGGCAAGTATCTTTGTACTCTGTACAAATGTATGGGGGTTTGTTTACAAATATTGCAGACAGACTAGTCAAAGTCGAATTTCAAAGGATTAGAACGAAGATTAGTTGCTGCTTGCTACTTGTCAACATGTGGACTGTTTAGATACAAGAAGTGAAAATCACGGTATGATTACCATTTTATTAGATCACCTATGTTTTTACAATCCTTCTCAAGAGTCAGGAAGGGGGGGGGGCATTATTATTAAATTTAATCAGATGTTTCCATTCGCCACTTACCATTTTCTATTCGTTTAAAACCCTATTTTTGTTTTGAAATTTGTATTTTAAATTCTTGTATATCTATGATCATAACCAACACGGTGTGTCACAAGAATAGGATCAAAGTGTTCGCAGTGTCCACAATCATCTATTTTATAAAAATGTTTCTAAAAATATTCTTCCTAACTAATTGTTTTAGTTAGATAAAATGTTTAAAAATATCAAAGTATTGATAGATGCATGAGTCTACTTTTTGCTTATTGTAACGCAAATCGGATCTATTTCTAAGATAATGTTTCCGGAATATGTCGATATTAGAGAAATAATTTATCAGAAAAGTAGATTTTTCTTTCTTTAAAGGGAGTGTTTGCGAAAAATGAAAGGGGGTATAGGCTTAATGCGATAAAAAAGCGCTTTTGATCGCGACTAATCTTACTTCTATCTGTTGCGTCTATAAGGAGAAACTTGTTAAAGACGTCTCATACCGAATAACTTAGCGTCCATACAAATTAAGAAAATTGCAACATACGACTTAGACCGTATAAAAATAAATTTAATTTTAAACAAATCATTCAGATATTACAACCTATAATCATCGATTATCTTTCGCCACATTTTTTATCGCGAACACTCCCTTCAAATGGGTAATTACAGCGAAAGTTCTTTTAGTAAAAACGTTATCTTGAACAATCAGGTTTTATGAGGATCCATTATCATGATTCACTCAAATTTTTATATGAATATGATAAGATAAAGCACGCCAAACTAAAGTAAATTGAACGAAGAAATCTTTTAGCTTTCAATCTTTTGAAAAGAACAAAAATGCTTTGAATTTCAATAAATTTGACGCACTCATACTTGTGCGTAAAACCGTAACTAGAGGAGCTACGAGCTCACTAAGTCGTACAAGTAATGTCTTATAAATTTGCCTGGATTTGGAGCCTGGATCAAGGGTTAGAAACTTTTCAGTAAAAGTTTACATTTTAGAGTAAACGCATTGAGACATTTGATTTGATCACATCCGTATTCTAGTGTTGGCTCTTACAGGTTGCTCCACAAAAATCTTTTATATTTAGCATATTTCAAAATAAAAGACTTGAGAATTTTTTTTTACGCTTGGCAATATTTAGACTCTGACAGAAAATGTTCGCTTGAGCTGATAACAACCAAAGCTAACTATTTAAAAAAAATATTCAGGTCTAAAATATCTTCTTTCAGAGTTTTGCCCAGAAAAATGTCGACAGTTAAAGGGAGTGTTCGCGAAAAATGAAAGGGGGTATAGGCTTAATGCGATAAAAAAGCGCCTTTGATCGCTACTAATCTTACTTCTATCTGTTCCTTCTATAAGGATAAAATTGTTAAAGACGTCTCATACCGAATAACTTAGCGCCCATACAAATTCAGAAAATTGCATTATACGACTTAGACCGTAAAAAAATCAATTTAATTTCAAACAAATCATTCTGATCTTACAACCTATAGTCATCGATTATCTTTCGCCACATTTGTATATAGTTTATATTTTATAATATTTTTAAATTAATTTGTTTTGAATTTGATTATTTCTCTTGCGGCTTGCGCAACTATCTAAGAATGCCGCGGACCACTCACATTTTTCGAAATCAGTTAAAACGTTTTCTAAAAAAATAAAATATTATAAAATATAAACTATATACAAATGTGGCGAAAGATAATCGATGACTATAGGTTGTACTATCTGAATGATTTGTTTGAAATTAAATGGATTTTTTACAAACTAAGTCGTATGTTGCAATTTTCTGAATGGGCGCTAAGTTATTCGGTATGAGACGTCTTTAACAAGTTTCTCCTTATAGACGCAACAGATAGAAGTAAGATTAGTAGCGATTAAAAGCGCTTTTTTATCGCATTAAGCCTATACCCCCTTTCATTTTTCGAGAACACTCCCTTTAATATTTTTGAAAATGCGCTAATTCAAAGAGAAAAATCCGTAAACATTTTAGAATGATTAAAAATGGCGAATTTCAGAGCAACAGTTAAAAGCTAAAGTTGTTAAAAGGGAAGGGGCGCGTAAAAGTCTAGTATTAAAAAACCCGATAAGAAAGGCTGCAAATCACTACATATTTGAACTTAATTTTTTCTTTGATGTTTACCAATGTATAATATGCATCTATATATTTAATTTATATGTATAGGTGCTTCTTTTCTCTGTTTTGTATATATACAGGGTGTCCCAAAAAACATGGGAATTCAGTGACGAATTCGATATCGTCTTTGTTATGAATTAGCATTGTTTTACCTAATTTTAAAAGCCATAATATTATTATGTCTGCTAGAGTTTATTTTATGAAAAGGGTAAAAGACTGAAAATATGTGTCTATAATGTCTCCGCAAGATGAACAGTGAATACGGACAAGTTTACTCTGTTTGTATACTGCAATTTTCTTGTTTTTCAACCTATTGCAGTCAAAACATAAACAAACAAAATGTGAACATAGCAGACGAAACTCTTACAGATTACAGCTTTCTCAGTAGGTATCACCATTCACCATACTAAATCAAAGAATTAGTTAAAAAGACGATATCGAATTCGTCACTGAATTCCCATGTTTTTTGGGACACCCTGTATATATATATATATATATTTTATGTAAATTGTATATAAATGAAGCATACATATCATCATATGCGCAAAAATAAATAAAAGAATCTTGATATTATCTTAAAGATATATGCATCTCTAGACAAACGTTATTAAAGAAATACATTAGTCAAGGTGTGTTTATTTAATAACCCTGTATAAACAGATAAACAGATGTATGCATCACAGCTACAGGGCGAACATTTGAGCGTCCTATAAACGTTTTTTAAAAAATAAGATAAAAAAATAGAATTTTTAACGTTTAAGGAAAAAAACGTATAAAGCTAGCTTGAACAAAAATTTGAATAAAGTAAGCCCTTCTGATTAAATAGTCTTTGAAATATCTAAGGTTTACAATATCCTGTTGCAAAGATATTTATTTTGACACTTTTTGAAAAGGGAAATTTTTATTTTCTTAAAATTCTATTAACAATTTCGACATTTTCGTAATTATAAAACACTTTCGGTGGATCGATATTACGAAGAAAATGTTAGGGTTTCTTCTCACAGTAATATGGTTCCTAAGACCTTATCCTAAATCCTGAACAGTTAGTTTACCTTTAAAACATCGTTGACGAGTATATTAACGGTGCAAGCAATCCAATATCTAAAAATAAAATCAGTATAATTTTAAATGTTTTTTTTGCATAAAGTGCATAATACAATGTGCAATATGCATAACAAACAATGTTTTTTTTCATAATGTTTTATGTTTATAATGTTTTATGTTTTAAATTTTTTAATATCATAATGTTTATGTTCATACTGTTTTATGCTCATTTTGTTTTATGTTCATAATTCTTAATTATCAAAATTTTTCTATGTTCACTATGTTTTATGTTCATAATGGTTGATGATCAAAATGTTTTATGTTCACAATATATAATGTTCACAATATTTTATGTTCACAATGTTTTGTGTTTATAATGTTTTATGTTAATATTGTTTTATGTTCATACATTTTTATGTTCATAAATCTTTATGTTCAAAATGTTAAATGTTCATAACATTCTATGTTCATAATGATTTATTTTCATATTGTTTTATGTTCATAATGTTTTATGTTCATATTGTTTTTTGTTCAGAATGTTTTACATTTATAATGTTTTATATTCAAAATTTTTCATGAACATAGTGTTTTATGTTCATAATATTTCATTTTCATGATGTTTAATGTTCATAATATTTTATGTTCATATTGTTGTATATTCATAATGTTTATGTTAATATTGTTTTTTGTTCAGAATGTTTTATATTTGTAATGTTTTACATTCATAACATTTTACATTCATGATGTTTCATGTTCATAATATTTCATTTTCATGATGTTTCATAAACCTAATGTTTTATGTTTATAATATTTCACCTACATTATGTTTACTTTTAGTTGTGTTTCTATGAAATTTCTTTTCATTTTGCTTTCTATGAAAACTTTTTTTCATGAAAAGTATAACTTTTTGTAAAAAATATCAATTTATGAGCAAAAAAAAAATAATAAAGTTAGATTTCGAAACATTCAAGTAGTTACATGCAAAAGCTTAAAAATGCAGTGAATTTACAGTGGTCAAAAATACCTAATAAATCATTTAACATTCTGACATTAGTGTTTACATAAAGTTCTTAGAAAACACTGCCTAGAACACTGCCTAGAACACTGCATAGAACACTGCATAGAACACTGCCTAGAACACTGTAATAACTGTACAGATTTATGTTTCAAAAATTGTAAATGTACAGTAATGTACATAGTAGAGGGTTGCCCACAGTATAAAGAATGTACAGTCGTCTCTGAAGTCTCATCCTCTGCAGTACAGTGTACACTTTGATACTTTATATACACAAACATACAGTTTAAAAGATAAAGTATTACACGTACAGGGTTACCCACTAAGGATGAGACTTCAGAGACGACTGTACAGATTTAATACTGTCTGTTTGCTTATATTCATGATTCCCTGCAACTGTAAACTTGTTTTTTTCTTTGCTAAATCATTAAATAATTTATCCTAGGGATTGTCTTATGGAATGAGTATCAGGTCGTCTTTATATTATCATCCCTTGTGGGTAACCCTGGAAGTAATATGCATAACTGGGATTAAGTGATTAAGATATCGTGTGTCCGAATTTAATCAATTTAAGCCGCGTCTCAAATCCCCCAAAAACCGTTTTCAATTGAGCCTCGGCTTATATCTCTAGAAAAATTTAATACAAATTTAAGCGGAAACAGCAAAATTTGAGCCGCAGCTTAAATTAAAACCGCGGCTCAAATTCAGCCTCTGGTTTTTGAACAATGAGCCTTCACTATTTTCACCCATTTCTGCATGTCAGGAATACCAGGGAAAAATATCTGAAAGCCCCCTGTGTTAGAGAACCTAGACCCCCCCCCCCACATGTATTTCTCATATTGACGATTTTACTTATTTGCTTGAGCTACGCGTTTTTGATTATAAATATTAAAATTATAAATTTGGTCCTTTACGTTTTCGAATAACAAATTAAACCGTAACAGAATTTATTCACAAACACACGTTTCCCAACATTATTAATAAACAACATCCGCGTATACGGTAATATTAAGTAATGGGAAACTCTATTTTAAGTTATTACTTTAATCCATATTCTTGAACTTAATCATTACCCCCCCCGCATCCCGCCATACAAGAAAAAGTTGAATTTTCTACTGGGGGGTGATTTGACAAACTTTTTTACTTTTATAATTTCTGGTTTTCACTCAGCTTAAAACATTTCCAGAGAACAAATTAACTAAGTTGTTTATTTTCAAATAAGAACAATATTGTTAAACTGCCAGGGATCACAGATATGTTTAGTTTCAAATAAGAATAATATTATTAAACTGCCAGGGATCACAGATATGTTTAGTTTCAAATAAGAATAATATTATTAAACCTGCCAGGGATCACAGATATGTTTAGTTTCAAATAAGAATAATATTATTAAACCTGCCAGGGATCACAGATATGTTTAGTTTCAAATAAGAATAATATTATT